ATGAACCCCTATAAATTTTCTGTAACACTAATCTTTCTGAAAATGTGCCGCATAACAGAACAGCCATTTTTGGAAAAAAAAAACAAAGACTTCAAATTTAAAACAAGGGGAAAGTTGCCATTATATAAAAAAACGAATGAAATCTTTTAATGATGCCAAACCCTGGTCATATAGGTTGTGTAAGCTATATATATATACATACATATATACCTGGGAATGTAAGTGAGTACACCAAATTAGTTTGCCATTTCAGTGAGATCAAGGAGAACACACTAGTGTGCATATTTTTACAATAAATGAACGAATGAAATTTATTTATTTATTTACTTATTTATTTATTTTTTGGTGGTACGTGCCCCTAGCAGGAAAAAAACCCGGGACTCTCTGGTCCGCAGGCCAACGCTCAACTGCTGAGCCAAACTGGCCAGGGCGAATGAATGAAATTTAGACACCTCTTCCAGTAATTAACAAAACCGGAAGTGGGGGGGGTGTTTAAGAAAAAGAGAAGATCTAAACAACATTTTCAACCACTTTCATCTAAATGACATTTCTATCCTACATTGTCAACTACTGCAGAATGCACATGCTTTTACATGTACGTGAGATATTCAACAAAATAGACCATATGCTAGACTACAAAAAAGTCCTAAGTAGATTTAAAAAGACTAAAACATTATAGAATACATTTCTGAGCAGAACAAAATTGAATTAGAAATAACTCACAGTAAGATAAATAGGTAAGTCCCAAATATTTAGAAATATGTGGAAATAACCCACGGGTCAATGAAGAAATTATAGAAATTAGAAAAGTATTTTTAACTAAATGGTAATGAAATTACCATATAACATTATTTTGGGGATGCAGCTAAAGCATTATTCAGAGAAAAATTTACACCAGTAAAAGACAGCCCGGCCAGTGTGGCTCAGTGATTGAGCATCGATCCATGCACCAAGAGGTCACCGGTTCGATTTCCAGTCAGGGCACATGCCCAGGTTGTGGGCCTGATTCCCAGTGGGGAGCATGCAGGAGGTGGCCAACAGGTATTCTCTCTCATTGATGTTTCTCTCTCTTTCCCTCTCCCTTTAAAATCAATAAAAAATAATAATAATTTTTTAAAAAGACAGGTCTCAAATCACTAATCTTCCACTTTTAAGAAGAGTGAAAATAATATTAAACCAAAATCAGATAGAAGAAGAGTATAAAAAGAGAATCAATAAAAAATAAAGAAAATCAACAAAAAAGCCGATATTTAAAAAAGATCAATAAAATTAATACAGCTCTAGAGCTAGACTGAGCTAAACAAAAAAGAAATGAAAGCAGAAACACTACTACAGATCCTACAGACTTAAGATAACAGGTAATATTATGACCCATTTCATGACAGAAATTTTATCAACTTAGATGACATGAATTCCTTGGGGGGGGGAGGGGCAGAAAAAATTTTAAATTCTGTATTTTACAAATAAATTGAATTTGCAAAAACACAAAAGGTAAGCCACAGATTAGAATATTTGTCTGATAAAAGATTCCCAAAATACACAAAGAACTGTTATACTTCAGTATAAAAGAAGACAAGACAATAAAATAGATTTAAACAGATACTTAATGAAAGAAGATATACAAATTGCCAAAAAGCACATTAAAGGATGCTCAACATCATTTGTCCTCAGAGAAATAGAAAATGAAACCACAACAGGTAGAAGGATAAATAAACTGTGGCCTACCTATTCTATGTAATACTAATTATCAACAAAAAGGAACAACTCATTGATACATATGCAACAGCATGGATGAACCTCAAAAAAGTCATGCTGGTTCCAAGAAGACAGGCACAAAATAATTTTCATTTCTATGAAATTTAGAAAAAGTAAACTGAACAATATGAAAGTTTAACTTATACAAGCAGAGAGAGCAGAAAGGTGGGTGCCAGAGGCTGGTAGGTGAGAAGGGTAAAGGGGTATGTTGGTCAAAGGGTACAAACTTTCAATTATACGGTGAATAAATTATGGGGAACTAATGTACAGCATGGTGACAACAGTTAATAATATTGTATTCTTGGAATTTGCTAAGAGAGTAGATCTTTAAAAAAGGTTAACTATTATGTGATGCATGTGTTCACTTAATTGTGATAATATCACAATTTCTATGTATATCAAATCATATATAATTTTTATTTGTCTATCATGTCAATAAAACTGAAAAATAATAAAGTTTTGAGACTACAAGGGAAAAACGGCAAAATGAGCCCCAGTATCTGTCTGTGGGTAGCAGGAGAAAGATGGTTAATTGATGGCAAAGAGTAAAAGAACATTTGAGGTGATAAAAATCTTGATGGAGGTAGTGATTATAAGTGTATACAGCTTCGAAACTCAAATTATACACTTGAAATAAATGGATTTCATTGTATGTTTAAAAAGAAATTGAAAAAACCCTCAAGAAGAATTTTCTTTCTGCATGTCTTCAAAATTACTCCATTAGCATTTTAAAAAAACTGTAGCTCAACAAACTGTATTTAAATCAGACCCAAGAGTTTCTATATTATTTCTCAGATTATCTCTAGAACACTAAATGTGAAATGTATTCCCAGCAAAAAAATATAACAGCCAATTAAACTTGGAAACAGTTCCTACCAGAGGTTCGCAATACTTACTACCACACTGAAGACTTCCTTCACCCAGAATGCCTCTGGAAAGTGTGTCACAGAATACAGTTAGGGAAATGCCAACTGCTCTAAGGATCTTACCTTAAATAATTTTCTGTACTCCACTACCCTAAAACATAGTCAACCTGGAATAAGTATTTGTTAATCCAAATAAAACACTCCAGTGGCTATATTTGGACAGGCAACAGGCATCTCAAATGTTCTAAGTCCAAAACTGAACTCCTGATAATCCCCTTCAAAGTCTGTTCCTACTAACATCATCTTCATTGAGGTAATGGCTTCACATCCTTCAATTGTTCAGGCTAAAAACCTTGATCATTTGTGACTCAATGCTTTCTAACAACCCATAGACAATCCATTAGCAAACACGCTAGCTTAAAAAATATACTTAGAATCAGACCATGCTTCACCTTCACCTCTATGGCTACCTTGGCCCCACCCATTATCATAAGTCTTCAAATGAAGTCTTCAAATTAGAAGAAGACTTGTTTTGATCGTGGAACTAACAGTCCAGTATGCTTAGGGAAAAAAATCTTTCACCTCTATGGCTACCTTGGCCCCACCCATTATCATAAGTCATCTGGATTAATGCAACAGTCCAGAAATGGACAAACTTTGTAATGAGCCAGACAGTAGACGGCTTTTCTGGGCATATGGTCTGTGTCGCAGCTACTCAACTCCTCCATGGAAACGCAAATACAACCACAGATAATATGTAAATGAATAAGCATGGCTGTGTTTCAGTAACATTCATTAATGAACAATGGAATCTGACTTTCATATAAAGTGCTATTTCACTTTAAAGACATTTTTTAAAAAGTTTGTCTTTTTTATCTATTGCCACCTTTTAATATGCAAAGACAAATAATTAAAAAACCCAAATGGTCTTTAAACAACATTTGCTCCAATTCTCATTTTGTAAATGAGAAAACAAACAGATAAGTTTATTTACTTTCTGAAAGACCATAGCTAGTTAATAATAGATTTCTAATTAAATGTTCTTTCCCAGGTAAATAATTTTTAGAACTAAGTAAGTTTGCAGAATAATTAGAATAATATAATAGGTCAGTAAGAGTTTTAATTATTAGACACTAGTCTAATATATTCAGTGAAATAATCTGTCTAGTTATATGATATGAGCTAAATATTTTCAGTTATACATAGCAAAATAAGGCTTAATGTTTAGTAACTTGTTTTGATTGTGGAACTAACAGTCCAGTACGCTTAGGGAAAAAAAAACTTTCTATACAACTTTTCAATACTGCACAATTATTTTTAAAAAGAAATTATATGGTGTAATAGTATACAATTGTAGATTTTAATTTATATTTAACCTGTTTGTTTACATTCCTTATAAGACCTATCAAGCAGAATTGACATGGAATTACTTTCTCTCAAAGAGCTAACTTTGTCAAGCAACTGGAAATGCTTATGGTCATGAGTCTGCAGCAGAGCAGAGAGCAGACTGCCGGGGAGAGAGCAGCTGGCACTGCTCCTGCACGTGAACGCTGGCAGATCTCTACTGGACAGAAGACCAACAGTGTTCCTAGCTTTTTCAACTGCAAGTTAGGGCCCACATTTCCATATATTTTACTAACATAAAAACTTTTAACAATGTCTTGGAAAACCAGTAATTTTTTTATTTTCCATTGAAAATGATAATACACTGGTAGTAACTCAATCTTCATTTCTAAAGTTCCTACAAGTTTCTATAACGATGAGGAAAAGACAAGAAGAATAGGGCAGAAGAGCGGGGTAGATGGAGAAAGTGAGACAAAAGGGAAGGAGGATGAGGACACGAAGGTGCCTGGCACATTAGTAAAAACGAGCTCTTAATTTTCTAAAAAAATATTTTATCATGCTCTGGGACAAGTCCACTAATGGGAGACAATGGTGTGCCAGACAGTACTTGGAGCCCACAGGCAAGTCGAATAATGCGCTTCTGCTAACACAGCTCCCCCAGCAGAAACACTGGCTGCAGACTTCTGTGCCCTCATCCTGTGCTCCCAGAAAACTGTTCCACTAGAAAAGAAAGCTTTCGTCATACTACTTATGTCTTACCCTGTAACAGGGATGCAAAGGTCATATTTTTAAAAGTAGGCACTAATTCAGTTTGCTTCCTTCACAAAAATAAATAGGCTTTTCCATTTACAGTTTTGATCAAAGTCTATGTTTGTCTCCTATATTATAGTCAAGAAGCTATAAATTATTTTTGTATTTTTATTTAAATAACATTTCTAACAACTAATAACCTGTTTATTACAATCTTACAATAATTAAAATTAAACTGGAAAAGGGGTTGGAAGCCAAATCTAAGATTTGGAAATTATTACTTACTGCAGGTACCAGTAATTTCTTCACTTCCTCAACAGCTCTCTTCAGTTTGATCTCTGCTCTGTTTTGAGCATCTTCCACAGTAATCAGTACATGTAAATCTTCGTTGAGATGCTCCCAATTAGGCTTGCCTCTATTTTGCTCCTCCTAAAAAATTTACAAAGTACACTATTACAGATTTTTCTTTTCAAAAGGAAAGTGTATTTTTCATAATACTAATCTGTTGCCAATTATTTAAGATATGTTCGCATTATTTTTCTAGGATGATATTATAAATATTTTGAATGATTTTCCTGGCAAAAAAAAAACATGTGCAAGCCCAGTGAGTCAAATAACAGTTCAGCAAACAACTGTTGAGTACAGACTACGTTCCAAGCATGCAGCCAAATGCTGAGGATACAGCAGTGAGCCAGGCAGCCACAGTCCTGTTCTGCTCTTATGTACTGAGAAACTCATGCATGCTGTCAGCCTTTGGTTATCATGGAAAGCATGTTATTTCTACATTTTACTTGTAAGCAAATAGTAGATCATCAGGGGTAATTTAGTCATTGTCAAGGTCACATAGCTAATAACATGCCAATTTAGTAGCTCAAAGTTATGAAAACTCAAATTCAGTGATTTTTCCACTTTATTACAATTACTTTTTAATAACATTGACTAAATTCAAGATTAGGGAAAGTACTTTGCAAACAGACAATGTGTAAGAGAAATGCCATTTGTTTTAAGTATTTCAAGTAGTAGTTATGAAAATACTTCGTTATAATTACAATAAGAAATAAACTACATTTCCATCATTAGCTTACTTTAAAAACAATAAACTGTAAGGTTACTCTTTAATTACATCAATCCACAAATCTTAGTTTAATAGAGAATATCTGTGTTTCATTTCCCTGATGTGCTCAAACCATCTCACGAGGAATCTCTCCAGGTTGGAAACACTGTCAAGCAACAAAGAGGTTTAGAGGTAGAGTTGCCACATTTCCCCTTCACTTAAGATACAGTAGTTTCCGAATTCCTTCTTGTTTTAAGTTTTAGAGATAATATAAATACATTTATAAATAATATATAACATATGACTTATAAATAAAAATTTTAGTATTTAACAAAATATGAATATAAACTTATTTTAAATATAAAAATGGTATCGATAAATGCACCTAGCTCAGTGCAAGGTACCATAAAAGCAGTAACAAATACCTCTTGTAGGTTTCTATTTACTAAATTATGAGATTCCAAAGAAAATAAAACCGGTATAAATGAATAAAACTGATATAATAAAAACAGCTTTCTACTACAACTCACATTTGCAGAGGGCATGCTAGGAAAAAAAAAATCTATGCAGCTTAGCCAATAAAAATACAAAGTCAAATATGTGCTTCTGCCTTTATTTTCTGTTTTTATCATTACTATGGAAATGCATCCAAATGTGGTGAGGAGGATGAGAAACCGCTAAGCACAGCGTCCTGTGGCAGGGCCGCCAGCGGGTTTCCACAGTGCAAACGTGGAGCCCCACCGGGCACGCCACCGGCCGACCATGCGGTTTCAGAATTTCAAGGGCAACAGCAGTAGTCAATGTCCCAGAACAATACTCAGAAATAACCATTCAACAAAGGAATAGTCACACTATCTGGCATCTAATCAGAAATTAACAGGCAGGCAATGCAGCAGAAAACGGTAACTCATATATGAGGGAATAAAAAACAATAAAAACCAACCTAGAACAGACACAGATGTTATAATTAATAGAAAAAGACACTAAAAACAAGAGAGAGAGAGAGAGAGACAGAGAGAGAGAGAGACAGACAGAAACAGAGACAGAGACAGAGAGACACACTAACACATAAAGATACTAATACAGCCTGGCTGGTGTGGCACAGTGGTTAAGTGTCGACCCATGCATCAAGAGGTTGCCGGTTCGATTGCTGGTCAGGGCACATGCCCAGGTTGTGGGTCCAATCCCCAGAGGGGGGCGTGCAGGAGATGTTTCTATCTCTCTCTCTCTCTCTCCCTTCCTCTCTCTTTGAAAGCAATAAAGAAAAATAATTGAAAAAGAAAAAAAAAAAAGATATGAATACAAAACAAACTGAGGAATATTTGTAATTCAAAATATTTTAGAAAGGCCTGAGAATGAGCCCTGGCCGGTTTGGCTCAGCGGTTAGAGCGTCGGCCTGCGGTCCTGAGAGACCCGGGTTCGGTTCCTGCTAAGGGCACGTACCTCGGTTGCAGTTTGTCCCCGGCCCTAGTTGGTCGTGCGGGTGGCAGCCACTCGATGTGTCCCTTCACATCGATGTTTCTCTCTCTCTCTCTCTCTCTGTTTCTCTTTCTCCCTCCCACTCTACCTGAACAAAAAATGGAAAAATGTCCTCGGGTGAGGATAAAAAAAAAAGAAAGGCCTAAGAATGAAAACTAAAATCACAAGTGACTTACCACAGAAACCTTTATATATAAGGAAGAAAAAGCCAGAGGATTTAAAAAGGAAAGGATTTATATGACAAGAACAGAGAACAAAGTTGCAGTATAATTTTACATTTGCTTTAGTAGAGGGAAAAATTTATGAATGAGTTGTAAAACACCTTGATAAATGTATACTCAATTCAACAACTTAAGTGTCGACTGAAAATACAAAGTAGCCCTGGCTGGTTTTGCTCAGTGGTTAGAGCAACAACCTGAGGACTGAAGGTTCTTGGGTTTGATCCCCAGGTAAAGGCAAGTACTTGGGTTGCAGGTTAGATCCCCAGGCTCGGTCGGGTTGTGCTCGAGGCAACCAATCAATGTGTCTCATCTCTCACACTGATGTGTCTGTCTCTCTGTCTGTCTGTCTCTGTCTCTCTCTCTCCCTTCCACTCTATCTGAAAATCAATGGAAAAACAAAACAACAACAAAAAGTAAAGACAGTTACACATATCCTAATGCTTGCTTCAAGATAAAGGTTTACAGTTTTAAAAACTGCTAAAAGGACAAAAACTTATGGACAAAGATGGTGAAATTATTTCAACTGTTGTCATTCACTCCCTCCTTAAATTATTTTAAAATACTGTAGAGTATAAAATGTACAAACTCATAAAGAAGAAAATGGGAAACAATTTATAAATAAGAAAGCATATAGCTAAGTTAGGGAGAAACTTTGCCCACCGCAAGTGAGAAAGAACCAATTAGTACTGCACATCACACCCCTCAAAAAAAGGGAGAGAAAAGGAGCATTAATGAAGGAAGGGCGAGGCGCTAAGACTGAAATTCTCACTGACACTGACTTCTCACTAAGGAGAAACTTAATCTCTATATCTCTGCCCCAAATAACTGGCTATCTAGCACTCTCTAATTCCCAGCAAAAGAAAAGAAATGAATTCATAACGAGTTCCACTTTCTAGAACTGGGTTTGAGGGGCAGTTGACGAGGTTCTTTATGCACTGAAGTCTGAGGTGTCATCTTCTCCTTCACTCCACACCCACAGCAAAGGCTGCTAGCTCAGAGACTGGGGGCAGGTGACTGAAGACCTTTCTGTGGGGACTCTAACCAGCCCAACAAACAGAAAACAATGGAAGAAAGGAAGTAACTCCAGAGCAGGAAGAAAGACTAAGAAATCTGCAGTTAAGAGAAGGTACGGTATCTTTAAATTAAGTACAGAATGCTATTAAAAGAATTCAAAACATAAGAAAACAAAAGCAAAATGAAACAAAAATATAAAAAAGAACGCCACTAAAAATATGACAGCATAAATGAAAAACTGCATAGAGTGGTTAGAGGATACAAACTGAGGAATTTTCCCTTCAACTAGAAGCAAAGACAGAGATAAAAAAAAAAGTGATTAAAAAAAAAAAAAGGTATAAAAATTACAGGTCTGGTCCAAGAAGTTCAGAAACTGAGTGACAGATGTCTCACCAAGAAAAAGGAAGCAGAAGAGTGAAAAATCATCAATATAATACACAATATAAAGCAACACTGAAGGATAAGAGCTTTCAAATGAAAAAGCCTACTGAGCTCTCACCACAATGAATAAATAAATGAGACAAGAACTAAATAAAATAAATCAACTAGAAGCACGATTAAGTACATAGCATAGTAACAGAAAATAAATACCAAAGAATCTCTCCAAGAGTAGGAAGTCGGGCCCTGGCCAGCTGGCCCAAGGACTGAAGAGTGACCAGTTTTACCACGTGGGCAGCCTCTCTGCTGAACTAGCATATTTTAACACAATCTTAGCAGACAGTCTTCATAGAACAAGACAAAGTGGGAAATTAACAGCTCTTTAAAAGTCCTGAGCCCTGGCTGCTTTGGCTCAGTGGTTGGTGCGTTGGCCTGCAGACCAAAGAGTCGCGGGTTCAATTTGGTAAAGGGCGCGTACCTTGGTTGTGATTCAGTTCCTGGCCCTGGTGGGGGGAGGCAACAAATTGGTGTCTCTCTCTCCAAATGGTGTTTCTCTCTCTCTCTCCCTCCCTCCCACTCTATCTGAAGATAAATGGAAAAATGTCCTCAGGTCAGGATTAAAAAAAGAAAAGAGTAGGAAGTTGGGGGGCAAGGGGGCAGTTACACAGCAAAGGGGGAGGAAGAACCCATGTATTCTACATCAGGCCTTATAGAATTTCATATATATATATATATATATATATTTAATCTATAACCATATCAGACTTGGTTTAAAAAAAGGTTTTGAAATAATTCTACCCAGAAGTCACATTTATCCAAATGTAGTACAGTCTAACTCAGGAAGAGTTATGTGGTTAAGTAAATTCCTTTGAAACTAGTAATTATCCAATACAAATATAATTTTTCCCTGTGTTCTTAAACAGGTAACACAGAAAATTTGGAATTGGAAAATACGACAGAAGTCTACAAAACATATCCATAGAGGCTCTCTCTGGTCCGCGGGCCAGTGCTCGAACCGCTGAGCCCAGCCGGCCAGGGCCACAGAGGCTCTGCTTCCATCATAAACACACAGGAATCAGGATAAGACAGCAGGTATGCACTTCTGGATGCCAAAACACTCACACTAAGAGTCTACTCCTGAAACTTCTCACTTCGAAAAATAATTTGGGACAAAAGAGATAGAAACAAAGCACAGAAGAGGAATAACAAAAAAAGATACACATGAAAAATGGTTACCCCTTAGAAACAGGGGTCTATGAGGCATTAATTTCTTTTTGGTTACA